CTCAGGCCCTTGTGCTTGCAAGGCAGACGGCGAAATCACTGAGCTATATCTCCAAGTTCTCGGTTTGATGGCCAACTGATAGGAGAAAGAAAAAGAGTCTGTACTGATGGGGAGATTTGTGGCAGGGCTGGTGAGAGTGGAACATTGCCATTGAACCAGGTGAGAAGCCCAGGAGAAGGGGGAGGTCGGGGTCAGTCGGTGGACAGAAAATGAGTTGAGCTTGTGGAAATTTGAGGTCTTGTGGGTCATGAAGTACAGATGTTTCGGAGGAATTTTATATATTTATCTTGTCGCTCAAAAAAAAAAAAAATAGCGTGGTAGTGCACACCTGTAATCCCAACATATCGAAGGTGGAGACAGGAGGATTGCTGCAAGTTCCAGCCAGCAGGTTTAGATGTTTTTTGGTTTTGGTTCCTGGGATGGAACTCAGGACTTTGAGCTTGCTAGGCAGGCAGCGGCACCACTGAGCTAAACTCCAGTCCAAGGTTTACATAGTAAGTTCAAGACCAACCTGAACTACAGGGCAAGACCCCATTTAAAAAAAAAAAAAAAAAGATGCAGTCTTTGGGTTTAGGTTTAGGTATCATCAGTTATATAGTTGGCACCTGGAACCTTGGATGTGGCTAAGATCATCTAAGAAGTAATCTGGAAGGAAAGGTCATGAGATGACCTCACCTTAAGGAGCACTTGCATTGTTTTCTCATTGAAAAATATTAGGAAAATTCAGAAAGGAAAAAATTTTCCCTTCATCACATCCTGGATTGAGTTAATGGTTTTCTATTTTCTCTTCTTGTAACTTTCTGTTATATATTCACAAATATACATAGAAATAGGGCCTGTGTTTAATTAAGACACTCTGAATATAGAATATTTCAAGCACTGTAGAAGTCAGTTGTGACACATGCCTCTAATCGCAGCACACCGGAGGCTGAGACGGGAGGATTGCTGCAAGTTTGAGCTAGCCAGGTTTACATAGTGAGTGCAAGGCCAGCTGGAACTACATACCTAGACTCTGTCTCAGAAAAAAGAAAAAGAAATAGGGTATCTGGGCTTGTATTTAAGATACTTTGAATATAGCATGGAACACTTAAAGCAATGTGGGTTAGCAGTGATGATTCTTTTGCAAATATAAGTGGAATATTTTGTAGAATACCAGATTTTTCCACATAAATTGGATAAAACACAATCACATTTTATTATTTCATATTTGGTAGCAATAGTAAAATATAAACTTATTTTGGAGACTCTCCTTATGGAATAGTATATCAATCTATCTTAATTTTTTTTGGTTTTCTGAGACAGGGTCTCCCTCTGTAGTTGAGACTGACCTGGAACTCACTATGTAGCTCAGGCTGGTCTCGAACTCACAGCGATCCTCCTGCCTCAGCTTTCTGAGTGCTGGGATTACAGGCGTGAGCCACCAGGCCGAGCGTGGTCTATCTTAATTTTGTTAAGTATTTGGTATTTTCTAATTTCTAGTAAAGAATAAATTTTACTTAAACTTGCAGTGAAACTTATTAACATCCTATGGCTGTGTCTCAAAAATGTTAGATCACTGATGTTTGCATAGATACACATAGCTGCAGTAAATATATGATGTGTCCAGTTTTTCTTTACTATGTTTTAAACATTTTTTACATTATTCTCTCTCTAAATATTTTAATGCTTCCATCATAGTTCATCATATGGATATGGTCTAATTTACATAAGCATTTATTTCTTTATAACTGGACAGAATATTTCTTTTTCCCTCATAAATAATATTGTTATGCAGGATTGCCTTTCTGTATTGGGGTTGTTCATCTTGTACAGATATCCCAAAGCTGATGTTTTGAGTATGAATTCCACTATGTTCTTGGACTCTGGCCTGTTTGTTGCCCCAGGGGCATGGGATTTGCCCAGTCGTGAAGATCCCTGTGAGTGGGCACTGGTGCTGTTGTCAGTGTTGGGTTCTTTCTGCTTCTTTTCATCACCATTTTTTGAAGCTGGTAACAAGTTGAGAATTTTGCTGGCATAGTTTTTTCTATAAGTGACAGGATCTTTAATCGCATGCTTTTCCTCATAGCTATTAATGTAGTTGTCACATAAGAACAAAAATTCACCCGAAACACAGCACTGAAGACAGGACTCTGACACAGTCAGTTCTCGCTGAGGCAATCATGATGGAGATAAAACCATCTTGAATTTTTAAAGTTACAGAGCTTTTTTTTTTTTTTTTTTTTTTGTACCAGGGATTGAACTCAGGACCTTGCTTGCACTTGCGAGGCAGGTGGTGAAAACACAGCTAAATCCCTGGCCCAAAGTTACAGAGCTTTTGATGACCTAAGGTTGAGATAGATTTTTTTTTCCATCTAAAACCTAAATTTTAAAGTTTGGTTGTGCACTTTTTGCTTGTTTTAGATGTACATACAAAGACCTCGTTGGTGTGTCTTAATTGGAAATAGGTTTAAGGCTATTGGAATGAGTATAATTGTGGACCTGTGATATGCAGGGATCCTTTGTTGACTTGATGTGAGATTATGTTCTTTAACATGGTATTATTTTGCCTTACCTAGTATTTGTAGCTATTTAGCTATTCAGAAATCCAGACGTCTTAAAAAAGAAGGAAAAGAAAGGCTAATGTGCCAGATTAGCTGTCTGGGGACAGTTGGAGTGAATCTTGTGCTTTCTTTGGCATCTCTTACACCTTCACTCCGCATATTTACACTTGTTACACTTTATAATTATAACCATATCAGAGATGTAGGGGAGAAAAAAGTTCCCCCTAGTCTCTTTGGCTTAATGTTTATTTTGCACTTTCCGTTTTTACTCATGCCATTTTAAGAAGTGTATTAATTTGGCTCTGTAGTTATAATAGATTAGAAAGCGGTGCGGGTGCTTCTGAAGCAGCTATAGGGATGCACATGTGCAGTTGAACTTGACACTGTCTTACATGGTTGTTGATGCATTGATCATAAGAAATGGTAAAACAACATTTTATGCTTTCTGTTTATGCACACAGACAAGTCAGCCGTACAGATGGGCTAATTTAAAAGCAGCTGTATCATGTAAGTGCAGCAGTTTATTTGCAGAATTCCTGAAAGAGCAAATTTTATCATTGCTAATTACCTAAATGAGAAAAATTGAAAAACCCTGGTGTGTTTCTGTGATCCAAGCAAGGTGTAAATAGACACTCCAGATTCTTGGGAGCCAGTCCTTTACAAAAAGTTGAAATCCCTGTGCTACATTAACAAAAAGTTGTGATTCATGGAAGGTCTGAGACTTGGCTCCAGGAAACCTAATCAGATAGAGTTGTTCATCAATTTAAGACCTGTTGACATAAACAAGTGAACAAACTTTTGTTTTTTTCTTTTGGGACCGGGGATTGAACTCTGGTCCTTGAGCTTGCCAGGCAGGTGACAGAACCGCTGAGCTAAATCCCCAGCCCAAACTTTTGTAATTTAAGTAACACAGTATTTTTGTTACTGGTTCAGCAGAAGCTGGGAAAACTAATAACTTTGTATTAACCAAAATGATATTCAACTGTATGTGTATCGTTTACTTTGTTGTAAATATTGGTGGATAATAATTGTTTTATATCCCTTTAAGACAACGCAGAAAAGTCTACAAAACATTTTTGTAGAAAAGTTTCCAAAGCCATTAAAATAAAATAGGTATGTAAGTTAACTGGAAAATACAGTGCATGGAATCTCTGTTGTTTTCAAGTTGCAAGAAATGGAGACCTATGTTGCTTAAAGTAGTGAGAATACTGCATAAAGAAATAATTAAATGTAGCAGTAATCTCAGAAACTGGGGCAGTTTTTGTGGTCCCATCAACTATTCAGTGCTACTCATTACTTCCTGTTGTTTCCGTGCTTGGCTTTGCTCCCTCAGCTTCCCTTGCTGTTACTTAACAGCTTGACTCTCTTCTCCTGTCCACCTCCTGGCTTCTGCCATGTGTCTTGGCCTGTGCTTTGACTGACACATTTTTCAGGGATCTATCAGAGTGACTTAAGTGATCATTGTTTAATTCAGAGTAAGCATATTGGGCATGTCCTAGGCTAAGATTCAAGGGTTCCAGCCAGCCTACAGGTAATTGCTTTTGGTTAAGATGAACTTTTATCCAGAAAGTCCAGGTTGTAACCAAGGTGATGAGATCACAAAGCCTGGTAACTTATACAAACAGCTACTTTTTTTTTTAGCTAGCTGCCTCTTAAACGACTTTGCAGGGGCTGGAAGTGCAGCTCAGTGTGGTATTGTGTGTGATTAGCACGCTTGAGGTCCTGGGTTCAATGCCAGCACTAAGAAACAAGAAACAAAATACCTTTGAGCAAGGATTATAAACTTTGCTTTCTAGAGCACCAGAGGGACTGGTGAACTGGAAAGAACTTCTACTCATCTCCAGCCAGTTGGTACTGTGTGGCAGTGCAGGGCCAGCTTGTTTTACAAATCAGAAATCTGGATTTGAAATCTCAATTCTTAGTGACAGCTATTCCAAAAAACAAACAAGAAGAAACAAGTAAGTGTTCAGGTCAGCAAAATAGCTCTTTGGATTACTAATATATAATCTTGTTTGTTTGTTTGTTTGTTTGTTTTAGTCTGTCTGATACAGCTGTCTTCTCTAATGAGACTGCCTGAATGAGGCTCCCGTATATATAAAGTCTAGCAGAGTTGGTATTACTCTGGCAAATGTCACCACTTACACTCTCTGAGCCTTCTTATCTCACAGAGTAGTTTTGAGGCTCAAGTTTCAGAAGTGATCGCTGATCTTCCTAAAGTTCTCAACCTTTGTTTTTTATGTATGATCAGATACTACATTATATATTTGTGTACTTGCTTTTCAGTCTTATTCAACCCAATAACTAATAGAGTGCCATAAAAATGCGAAGGAAGAATAGATGATAAAAGCATCTGATAGATTTTACAGATACGTGTTTATTAAATTGTGTTATTAACCCATTCATTAATGTAAGAAGAATTATGGTGGAATGAAAAAGAAATGTGAACAGTGATACAAAATACTCTCACCTGGCTTTTGATTATTACAGGTTAGCGGATGAATTGCATATGCCATCTCTCCCAGAAATGATGTTTGGAGACAACGTTTTAAGAATCCAGCATTGTTCTGGCTTTGGGATTGAGTTCAATGCTACAGATGCATTAAAATGTGTGAACAACTGCCAAGGAATGCTTAAAGTAGCCTGTGCTGAAGAGTGGCAGGAGAGCAGGTGAGAGTCAGGGCAATTATGGGTTAAACAAAAAAGAAAAGTGCATTTGTGTTGTAGTAGAGTAGAGTGCTAGTGTTATTATTAAACTATGTAGTAGTTGGAGTATTCTGGAGTTCATTTTTCTTTCTTTTTTTTTTGTGCTGGGGCTGAAACTCGGTACCTTGCGCTTGTGAGGCAGGCGGCGGCACCCCTAAGTGCTTGGCTGGGGTTCATTTTTCTTATCATAAAATGGAGAGTAATTATGCTGCTATTTAAATACTTGAGTTAAATCAACCACATACAATTCACTTTTTCAAAGCTTCAGTTTCTTAGTCAAGAGGCAATACATTTAGTGTTACTGTTTTTAAAGAAAGTCTGATTTATTGTGATTTGCATTGAATAATTGTGCGGCATTTCAGTTAGAATTATAAACCTTTAAATCATGTCCTCAGACAGTGGACAGACTACTTGGAAAGATTACTATAAAAATTACATCAACACACGACAAGCTAAATAATAAATAAAGTTAACTAAGAACGATCTTGTGTTAGGACAAGTGTGTGTGTGTGTGTGTGTGTGTGTGTGTGTGTGTGTGTTTTATCTCATTTGTACAATGTAGTCTTGTGTGATATGAATGCAGATGATCTGTATTCTGTATTACTAAACCTGATCCTTCTCATTTTGGTATTTGAGGACCGAAGGTGAACACTCTAAAGAGGTTGTTAAACCATATGATTGGACCTATACCACAGATTATAAAGGAACATTACTTGGAGACGCTCTTAAATTAAAGGTAAAACTTACATTTTGTTATGAGTCATTAATTGTGTTGGACAGTTTCAGCTTTAGAAGTTTTAATGGTTATTTTTTGACCAGTTACTGTTTATCGTGGCAGGCTTCAGAACATAGTGCAGTGGATTGATCGTTGAGGTGAGGTCTGCGCTGTTCAGGCTGGCCTCGAATTCCTGGGCTCCAGGGAGACTCCTGCCTCCACCTCACTAGTAACTGGGATGACAGGCTTGCAGTACTCTGCTTGGAACATTATAAGTGTTGTTGGGCTGGATGTGGTGGCACATAACCGTAATCCCAGCACTGTGGGAGGCTGAAGCAGGGAAATTACATGTTGGAGCCCAGCCTGGGCAGCTTTTGTGACTTAGTGAGATCCAGTCTTAAAAGAAAAATTTTGAAGGGGCTGGGCTGGGGATGTAGCTTTCTACAAACGCCCTGGGTTCTGCAGTGCCCCCTGCCAAAAGTATGTTTGGTAGAATGGCAAGTTGCCATAGCATTATCATTATTATGACCAATGTAGTATGTATTTTGGTGTAATGTATGAGATGATTTTAGAACCTGCTAGCTAGTAGTTTAGGATTTTATACATGAACAAATGCATGTGCAAACAGAACTTTCGGTCAGTCTACTTAAGTGTGTGTCCTACCTGCCCTATATATGAGCCTGGTGTAACTTTAGGCACGTTACTTAAGCTGTCCGTGTCAGTAAATTGGGTTAATACCTACCATACTGTTTTGGTATGAAATAACTCATGGAAAAATTCTCTCTAAATTCTAAGGCTCTGTGCTACTGTAACATTGCATCCATTTAGACTCTGTTTCTTTTATTGTTGTTTTGTTTTTTGTTTTTTTGAGACAGGGTCTCACTATGTAGTTGAGACTGACCTAGAACTCACTATGTAGCCCAGGCTGTTCTCAAACTCACAGCGATCCTCCTGCCTCAGCCCCCCGCTCCAATGAGTGCTGGGATTAAAGGTGTGAGCCACCATGCCTGGCTTTAGGCCCTGTTTAAATGACACATAAAAACATAGGAAGGTGAAGTTGTCAGTAGGTCTCATATTGGAAGTTTAGCTGTATTTAAAAATCTTACAGTATTACTGAAATGAAACAAATCTGGTTTTGGTTCCATGTCTGTAAATATCAGATTATTATATAGAACACAATTATTTTAGTGTAAACTATTTTCATTGAATGTTGTTATGGGAGACCATATTATATATTGGTGCTTAGGCAGAAACAAAGAAAAGAGGGTTATATAGGGGATTCTTGACTCTGGAGATTTTTAGTCTTCGGAAGGTAGACATTCACAGCAGGAATTTAGTAATTATGATCAGTTTCTGCCTCTCCACCATTCCACACTTTAGCCAAATCTCTGTGCTTTCAGGACAGAAACAGTTTTTGAGAGAACATGTTTCATTCAGTAGATATTTCTTGAGCTTTTACCAGGTGCCAGGCACTATTCCTAGAAGCTGTGAGTACAGCAGATAACAGGCAAAAATTCCTCCTTTGTGGTCTTAACGGGAGAGCAAGGTTATTTCAGTCCCTTGTAGAACTTCAGAGATGAGTATCTTCCCTCCTCTTTTCTGTCGAAAAGTTTTCAGGGAGCTTAGGTGATATTTCACTGCCAGAAGGGAAATGGGAACTTGTTTTAGCCTTGTGCACTAAGGATTATGACTTTTTCATGCACTGACTGAGGTAAAGCTTTCTGGAAGCTCTGGAGTGCATGAGCTGAGCATTAACTTTAGCAAGACCCAGGGCGGTGGACTCAGAGGCTAAGAGTAGATCAACAGTTCAGCCTAAATGTAATTTATTCCAAGGTGTTGGTGATAAATAAATGTCAGCTTGATCAGCCACTATATGGTGATCAAGCTTTGGCAAAACACAGATCTGGATTCAGATCAGCACCAGTTACCAGCTTGGAGAAGCAATTTAAGCTTACAATGGCTGTTTCTTGTTTTGTTAAACTGGAGACAATACCAGTTGTGAGATAATATATAAGATTATGTTAGAGTGCTTAGCACAGTGTCTGTTAACAAGTGGCAGCTGCTGTTATACTAATGGCGTATCTCAAATACCAGGGGAGTCTAAGTTTATATGTTTGAAATAGCAAGAATAAAGGAAGGTAGGAGGTGGTGCTGCTGTAGTCGTGGACAGTTTGCTGAGCCTGTTAGTGCTCCAGACTGAGACTGATACCGCTGTCATGTCCCGCTATCTGCATCCCCCAAACATGTCTCTGAAGATTTACGGTGTGAATTTGGCCGCTGTGGTCCTATAGTTGATGTGTATGTTCCACTAGATTTCTACACTCGTCATCCAAGAGGATTTGCTTACATTCATTTTGAGGATATTTGTGATGCTGAAGATGCTTTACACAATTTGGACAGAAAATGGATTTGTGGACTTGAGATTGAAATACAGTTTGCACAGGGGCATCGGAAGACACCAAATCAAATGAAAGCCAAGGAAGGAAGAAATGTGTACAGTTCTTCATGTTATGATGATTATGACAGATACAGGCGTCCTAGAAGCCGGTATTATGAAAGGAGGAGATCAAGAAGTCGGTCTTTTAATTACAACTATAGAAGATCTTATAGTCCTAGAAACAGTAGACCGGCTAGAAGAACACGAGGTAGCAGAAGCCATTCCAACAATGATAGATTTCAAACACTGAAATCGATCTTTTTCAAGATCTAAATCCAATTCAAGATCACGGTCCAAGTCCCAGCCCAAGAAAGAAATGAAGGCTAAATCACGTTCTAGGTCTGCATCTCACCCCACAACTAGAGGCATCTCTAAAACAGATTCCAAAACACATTATAAGTCTCGCTCAAGATATGAAAAGGAATCAAGGGAAAAAGAACCACCTAGATCCAAATCTCAGTCAAGATCACAGTGGAGGTCTAGGTCAAAATCTAGATCAAGGTCTTGGGCTAGTCCTAAGTCCAGTGCCCACTGATAGTATAAACCATGATAATTTTTAGGCATGTATCATTCATTTACTCATAGTTTGGTATACTTAAATTATCAGGATAACAGTGTTGCAATGATGCGTAAAAAACTCTTGTTAGTTTTCCCTGTGTCAGGCAATGGTTATAATTAAAATTATATGCTATTGAAAAGCATGGGTTTTTTTCCCCTGATACTGGGAATCAAACTTCGGGTCCTTGCGTTTGCAAGGCAGGCATTGGAACCACTGAACTAAATCCCTGCCCCAAGATAAGACCCTCTTAAGAGTCCAGTTTGTTTAATGTTGTGGGCAGTACCAATATGTAGTGTCTCTGTATATATTTGTAAAGATTCTCATTTTTTATGCTTGAAGTATTTGGTGAAAAGATGTTGGTTGACCATAATTTGCAGCATTGTCTTATTAAAGTTTCATATCCATATTTGGTAGAACTGTTAACCTGGAAAGGTAGTTTGCTAATAAGATAGAATGATACAAAAGTGAAGTTGTAGCCATAGTACCACACTGACTGCTCAGAAACATTTAATTTCAGGGTGGGCCTTTGTCTTTCAAGGCAGGTCGGCCCAGATAATATCTCATTTGTGAGGTGTGGAAAAGTTAACCCCACTGTCTTGGACAGTGATTTGTATTTTCTGGTTGGCGTGAATATTTGGAACATAAACACATCAAAAAGCTCCCCTTAAAATTTGAGCAGAAATAATTTTAAGGAGGAAAATATGTTCTTAGTAGTTATTCTAAAATGTAAGGAGTAGTGTTGACCGTTGTTGTTTTGTTTTTTTGTATGGGGGATTGAACTCGGGTCCTTTCGCTTGCAAGGCAGGCGCTGGAACTAAATCCCTGGCGACCGTTGTTGCTTAGTTTTTTTACTGCTGTTAGAAGTACATTGTTTCAGTGTAAGTTTTGTTCGTGTGTATGTGTAGGGTAAAGGAACTGCATTTTGATGTTCACAGCACTGAGCATATGCATTTGTATCAAAATTTGACTGCTTGTTTATGACGGAGGCTTGCTGTTCACGTCTCAGTTCATTTCTGTGAGGCAGCTGAAATACAGCATTCCCATCCGAGGCGATTCTGTGGTGCCATGAAATTTTAAATAATTTTGGAAGACAGGATTAGTTTAAGGAAGAGCTGCATCTCTTGAGTTTTTGATTATCAGTGTAGCACCTGCTAACAATGAGGAATTAATACCCCCAACTATTTATAATTTCTAGTGTCTCTGAAAGATTGTTTGGAAGCAATAAAGAATGACTTGAAATGTCCAGCCTCATTTCAAAATAAAAGCTAGCATCTTTTAAAATCTCAGAATGTTTACTTGCAGATACAAGAAATACTGTAGCGAAATGATTCCTTTTAGAGAATTTCTTTTTTCAATTTTGGTTTTAGAAATCTAGTCCTTGCCTGTAAAGATTTAAAAAATGGCTTTTAAATACTGTTTGTGAAATGTGTTTCAAGGATTAATTCTAAAACCTTTGTGTATTTGATAGTATTTCTAACTTTTATTTCTTTACTGTTCGCACTTAATGTTCATGTTCTGCTGTGCATTCATATATACATGTTTCTATAATTTTTTTAGATTTTCCTGGATGTATAGTTTAAACAACAAAAAGTCTATTTAAAACTGTAGTAGTAGTTGCAGTTCTAGCAAAGGGGAAAGTTGTGGGGGTTAAACTTTGTATTTTCTTATAGAAGCTTTTAAAAAGGCATTTTAATATATATTTTTTAACAAATACTGTGTACAGCCTTTAAAACGTCAATGTTTGGATCAAAACAAGACCCAGCTTATTTTCTGCTTGCTGTAAATTAAGCAAACAGGCTATAATAAAAACAAAATGAAGGGAAAAGAACAGAGGAAGGTGTACATCTTAAATATTTATCCTTGCATTTCCATCTAGAGTTGATGAGTATATTCCTTTATTCGCTTAAAAAAATGGAGTGAGTTTTCCAAGCAGACTCATTAGGGTTTTGTTGTTTAATTCTCAAGGTAACGTTACAGAGTAGGTATTACTTTAAAGATGGAAGAAATGGATTCAGGATCTTAAAGTATGTCTTTATAACACACGTCGGTAACGTGGCAGTGGGTAATGCCAGTACTGGAGTTCTTAGGCACAGCGTTTGTATGTGGAAGGCCTCTTCCATAGGAATCTAACGGAATTTTTGGTTTTTATCTATAATATTGGTTGGGGGTTTTAATTTTCTAGCCCTTTCTGAAAATACTGTTTAGAGTCCTGGGATGCATAGGAAGTGTGTGCCTGTGAACCAGATATTTTTCAAATGGACAGTGTCAGAAAAAGAGGGATTGCAATAGAGCCTTTCCTTTCCCCTTAAATCCTTGCTTTTTCTTGCTGGAGGCTGCTTGTATGTATACTTTTAGAGTCTTCTTACTCTTTGACCTGTTTAATATTTTATTTTATGAGTCACAGTATGATGTAAGAAAAGCACCCTAGCTAGGCATGGTCATGCACAACTGTCACCCCGGCACTTGGAGACTGAGGCAGGAGGATCTGAAGTTGGAGCCTGGCCTGGTCAACTTAGTTACTTAAGCAAGACCCTGTCTCAAAATAAAAAACATAAAAAAGCCTAGGGTCGTAGCTCAGTGCAAAGGTCCTGAGAACAGTACCTAGTGCCAGGCAAAAAAAAAAAAAAAAAAAAAAAAAAGATTGTTGTTGTGTCTTGAGAATTTAACTGAAAGCAAAATAAAACAAAAGGAATCATCATAAAACTGCACAGGGGTAAAAGCTTATGTGGATGTGGACATGGAAGAACTATGTACTTTGTTGTTGTTTTGAAACAGGGTCTTACTATGTAGCCCAGGTTAGCCTTGAACTTTATGTTGCCCACATTGGCCTTGAACCCTGGGCGATCCTACTGTCTCAGGCCTCTGAGTGCTGGGATTACAGGTGTCACCACCTTGCCCAGCTCTGTGGAAATTTTTCACTTCTTGATAATCACATGTGCTACTTTCTTTTTTCACTCTATGTCATTTAATGCTTCCTTAGCATCTTCCCCAAATCTGTGCAATCTCTTGAACATCTTTTTTCATTTTTTTTCCTAATTCTTTTCCACTTGTCTCAGATTACTCTCCATCTCATAATTGTGTCCAGGAATCAAATGACCCAATCATGGCTATTTAGTAAAGCAAATAGTAGCCACCATTTACTATTTACCTACAGTTTGACATTCATTTTTGTATTTGTGACTAACCATGTCAAAGAAGAGAAAAGCTGAATATTTTATGGTGAAATAGGAGATGATAGAAAATGGTGTCACAAGTCACACTTTGGTGATACTATCAGGAAAGATTGTGGTCTGCCTTGGGATTGTTGGTGCTCGTGTGTGTGTGTGTGTGTGTCTATGAATGAACTATAAAATAATCTATTGGAAAACATTGTCAGTAGTGTCCAAGCCCTTTGTGTGCCAGGAGTTATTTTCAGAATTTCTGTAAATGTTCTTGTTTCTCATTACTTAAAGCGAATCCTTCTGTTTGTAGGTTTTGAATTAGTTTGGGAATCTAAGATATGTAACATTGTAATGAGAAAAATATTTTTAAGTTCCAAATGAATACTTTAAAAATGTACATTAGTAGCCCTAAGTTGGTTTTACCTTCAGTTATGGTTGCAATTCATCAGTCCAGTTTTCAGTTCATTAATTTTCTCATAATGAATGAAAAAACACTTGATTTTAATCTGATTTTTATAAAAGATGAGAAATTTCAACTTTTTTTTTTTGAGACAAGGTCTCAGGCTGGTCTTGAACTCACAGTGATCCTCCTGCCTCAGCCTCCCAAATGCTAGGATTACAGGCATGTACCATCATACCTGGCTTTGACTCTTTTAAGAAGCTGTGACACTAGGTAAGTATAGTCCAGTTTCAGAGTCCAGTCATATTCTGATCTTTGAGGTCTACTGATGACAACCATATTTGTATAATTGTGTGTTCTGGCTATGCACAAAAGACTGATAAGGAAGACCATTTTCTTGTAACTGTAGCTCTTTAAATTCTTTTTAAAAATGTGTCCCTGTTTTAATAATTTTCTTTCAGGTTGTACCTACAACAGATCATATAGATACAGAGAAACTGAAAGCCAGAGAACAGATTAAATTTTTCGAAGAGGTTCTCCTCTTTGAGGATGAACTTCATGATCATGGAGTTTCAAGCCTGAGTGTGAAAATTGTGAGTATTGTGATTTTTGTTTAAATTAACATCTTTTTCCATTCTTACTGGTGGGCATAAAGTAAGACTCACTTTGAATCACACAGAATCTTAGTTTCACTTCGGTCTATTTTATTGGATTTTATTGGATTCTATGATAAAATTTACTTTTAAGTCCTGATGTAAAGTTAGTGTTTTGTTTTTTTTTTAACCGTACTAGCCTGGCTCCTTTGCAGATACAAGTCTTGGTTACTTATCATTGTAACAACAAAAAAATAGCCACACACATTTCCAAACCTTCTCTGTGGGAGACCTGGTGCCCTCAAATATCCAGGTGAATTGTGGTAAAATGGGCACTAACCCCTGGTCTCCTAACTCCTAGTCTAACCCTCTGGCCACACTAAGTGATACTTTCACATGCCTGTGTTGTGCCCAGAGTGACAGTTAATAACTAATTTTTTTTTCCTGTACCAGGGATTGTGTTAATAACCTCTTTTGAAATTTGAAGAAATGCTTGAATCTCTCTCTATCCAGGTGAATTGTGGTAAAATGGGCACTAACCCCTGGTCTCCTAACTCCTAGTCTAACCCTCTGGCCACACTAAGTGATACTTTCACATGCCTGTGTTGTGCCCAGAGTGACAGTTAATAACTAATTTTTTTTTCCTGTACCAGGGATTGTGTTAATAACCTCTTTTGAAATTTGAAGAAATGCTTGAATCTCTCTCTCTAAAACCCTGGCCTTTTTCCTCATAAATTTTAAATAGCGCTCTGTAAGTGTCAAGTAATGACGTGCTTTCCAGCTTGTTGTGATACATCAGACTGTTACAAATCGGGGCTTTTTCTCTAGCCTTCCTTCACGGTAAACCTTGCTTTTTAAAAACCTGTGCTGATTATTCCAGAATGGAGTTTGGCCCAGCACCTTTTCCCCAGCAGAGATAGCTTCAGCCTCTGTTTCATTGGCTAATAGTTAATGAGCACCTGCTGCTTGCTAGGTGCTTTTCTAGGCAGTAGGGATGTGTCGTGGCCACAGCAGGTATCCTCACTGTCAGTGAAGAGGTGGGCATCGAGCATGTAAACACGTAAATGAATATGGTTACACTTGTGTTCATTGGTAATGGAGCACGAAGAGGAAATGACAGGAGGAATCTACTGTGACATGGTGTGGTAAAAAAGGCCCCGTTACGGGAAGTGACATTTATACAGAGATCTGAAGGACAGGTGGACAAAGGCCAGGAGAGTACTCCAGGGAGGGAGCATGGACGTGCCAGTCCTAAGGCAGGGAAGAGTTTGGCTGGTGGCTGGTGATTCTCCAGGCAGGAATCCACTAACGTTACTGGCATTTGTGGAGCCTTGAGTCTCTATGGAAAACTGACAGTTCTCTGATTATATCTGACTATTTCATGCCTCAGTACTTTTTGTATATGCCTTTTTCTGTCTGGAATTTTCCTTTCCATCCCGTGTTCTCCAGGGTGAACTCACAGTGAGATGCACTGGCATCTCTGACTTTCTTCAGCAGCTTTAGGGACTTCTGTTTGACTCTTTTTCTGGTTGGTAAAGGTTTTGGATTTTATCTTTTCATTTGTATAAATCGAAGTTCTGTTAGAACTTGTCACTTAATAGACAAATATTTTTAAGCAGATGATTAAGCTTTCACAGTAATTACATTTGGAAAGTAGAAATTTGTAGACATGCTACAGACAAAGGATGTTAAGAATGTAACATTCTGATAAATGAGTCTTTAGCATATGCAATACTACATAATTCATTGCATTGAACAAGAGCATTCTGTTCTAGGTCTCCTGCCTTTATTTTGTGTAAAGCAACAAAGAACTAGGTTGTTTTTTAATTTTAGTTTCACTGGTGTTGATATTTACCATTAGTACTACCAGTTTTTAGAATGAACATTGAAATTTTCGCATAGTTTAGATAAGGGTTTTATATCTTTTTTTTTTTTTTTTAAACCTAGGGGGAAATTTTCTGTTGGAGAAAACGAAAACCATGATGCTAAATGGTTTGCGAGACTTCAACACTAGTTGGAGCTAGGACAAAGAACCTGTTGGTCAGAGATTTTTATATATAGGTGGTTCCCAACTTAATAATGGTTCAACATGCAATTTTTTTTTTGGCTTTGTGATGTATGAAAGTGATATGCATTTAGTAGAAACTGTACTTTGAATTTGATTCAGCCTAGCAGTATATGGTAGAATATTTACAGTGCTGGGCAGTGAGCTATAGCCAGTCAGCTGCCCTTGGATCACACGGGCAAACCACTGATCCTCCATGGGGTGCTGCTGTATTGCTAAGTTGTGGCAATGGTCAGCAAGTGTCTTAGTTACTTTCTTGTTGCAGGGACAGTACTCCTCGTACTTAAAGGAGGAGAGATTTATTTAGCTTACAGTCTGTAGAGGTTTCAATACATACTTGTAAGGCAGGGTGGCATGGCAGAGGAACATAGCAGAGGAGAAACAGACCATGGCAGGGCAGGCAGAAAGCAGTGATCCTGTGTTCTTCCTTCCCCTTTCTATTCCATCCAGGCCTCCAGGCTATTGATTGGTGCCATTTACACCCAGAGTGGGTCTTCTGAATTCAGTAAATCCATTTAGCCACACCTAGAAGTGTGCTGATCTAATCAGGGGACTAAACCAGTTCTCACATACCCATGATCCATATTCATATACCTTAGATGCAGCCACCTGCAAAAAGTCCCACCTGTAAGCGTCTGAGGCTTTGAGGGGAAATCTAGATATAAGCCATAATAGGAGGTATATTAAATGCACTTTTTTGGCACCGGGAATTGAGCTCAGGGCCTCATGCTTGCCAGGCAGGTACTATGCTGCTGAGCTACATCCCTGGCCCTGAATGCATTTTTGAATCAAATATTTTCAAGTTGTGATGGGTTTATAAGAACAGTAACCTCATGGTAAGTCAAGGAGCATCTGCCCTGCTGATGTAGCCCTCTTCTAATACTTTTTTTAAAAATAATATTTTTTCAGCCAGGTATGATGGTGCACACCTATATTCCAGCACTCAGGAGGCTGAGGCAAGAGGATTTCTATGAGTTCAAGACCAGCCTAAAATATATAATGAAACCCTGCCTCAAAAAACAAAACACATTTTTTCTTTTAGCAATGTAATAAAATGTTTAATTTTTTATGAAAAATATTAATGTACTGTTTTTCCCCCCCAGAGAGTAATGCCTTCTAGCTTTTTTCTGTTGTTGCGGTTTTTCTTGAGAATTGATGGGGTGCTTATCAGAATGAATGACACAAGGCTTTACCACGAGGTACCTGTTTTCATTTAATGACTATCCTAACTGATATTGGGCCTGTTCATGTAGTTTCATTGTCATTCTGAGAGTTTGAAGTTAAAGTTTTATTGACAGTCTATAAACTTTGGAGATTTACTGTTTTTTTGTTGTTGTTGTTGTTTTGTTTTTTTCCAGTACTGGGGATTGAACTCAGGATCTCGCACTTGCAAGGCAGGCACAGTGCCACTGAGCTAAATCCCTGGCTCTAAGATTCACTGTTGACTGCTCACTGTTGTCAACACATTACATCTTTGCAAAAGTTCTGGTGGCTGAAAAAGACATTCTTGGTGCAGAGAGGGTTGGAGCTGATGCTTTAAAACATTTTTATGTACTTAATATGTTTAACAAAACTCCCTTAACTCTTAACCTTTCTTTATAGAAGATAGTGTTTATATAGTGTCCTGATGTTTAAAATACCAATCACATGACTCTGAAATCTGTTACACAATTATTTTGATAGTTCCTTTAAACTTTGGAAGCTCTGTATTCCATCTAGGATAACTTAAGCATGAAGCTTTTTTCTTTTTAAGTAAGTGTTGGGGGAGGGTTAAATTGAGCATGGACGTTCCTCCAGTAGCTTCATAGCAGGCTGTCCTTTCTGGATGAATTTTTAACTTTAAATTTGTGGTCATGTGGAGTGAGGAGCTACACGACACTACCAGTGGTCATAGTGATTACTACTACTACTATGGCACCTTTTTCAAATCCATGCTATTATTATCTGTTCTATAACTGGAGTAACCAAAGAAGAGTTTAAATTGCTCACCCAGTTACAGTCAGTGGCAGAACTGGTGTTTGAACACTCTAGGATGGGATTGGTTTGGTGTTTGCCCTAGTCATTCACTCTGGATTATTTTCTCCCTTAACCTTAATAGTGACTCTGGACTGTATGTGTGTGGTTTATTTATTTATTTTTTTAATTTTAAAGACAGGGTCTCACTGAGCCGGGCGTGGTAGCACACGCTTGTAGTCCCAGCACTCTGGAAGCTGAGTCAGGAGGACCGCTGTGAGTTTGAGACCAGCCTGGGCTACATAGTGAGTTCCAGATCAGTCTCAACTACATAGTGAGACCCTGTCTCAAAAAAAAAAAAAAAGACAAAAGACAGGGTCTCACTATGTAGCTGAAGCTGGCTTTAAACTCATTATGTAGCCAAGGCTGTAATTCTCCTGCCTCTGGCTCCTGAATGCTGGGATTACAGATAGTGTATCACCTTGGCTTGCTTTTCTTTTTAAACGTGGAAACAAAGTATTGCATTTTTCTCCCCAGAAAGAGTGAAATCTGAATCTTGAAAATACCGTTTTAACTTAGTCATACTGAGTTTTGGGAATTTATACTAAGAAAGATTCTTCTATATAATAATTTATGGATATTAATCAGGCAAAGGCTCAGAATTGTATATACATAAACATTCACAACCATGTTGCTTTGTAATAGCAAAAGGGAAGGAAAGAAAGAGCTTAATGCCCATTATGTTGTTTGCTTTGTGTCTATATAGTAGAAAAATACATAACCACAGAAATTTATGGCCAAGAATTATATTTAATTTGGAAAGATGTCTATTTAAATGTTTAATTTTAAAAAGCAACTTTGAATCCATTTATGTAAGATTTTATGTAAGTTTCAGAATATGAAAGCAGTTGTACATTTACAAATCATGAGAGAATGTTATCAATAACAGCTGTGATTACTGATTTATCTCCCCTTTATACTTTTTTTTTTGGTACCAGGGATTAAACTCAGGACCTTGCACTTGCAAGCCAGTTGTGGTGCCACTGAGCTAAATCCCTGGCCATCTTCCTTTTATACTTTAATATTATTTGATTTTTTTTCACAGTGAGCAATAATTTGATTTTATTGATATAGGTTGATGCCTTAAAGGAGTATAATTTTTGGCTTTTTGTTTATTTATTTATGTAGGTATTGGGGATGGAACTCAGGACCTAGTGCTTGTCGGCAGGTGCAGCACCACTGAGCTAAATCCCCTGCTTTTTCTCTTATTGAAGTATTTCACCAAAAGCAAAACTGTAATAAATTGTCACTCTATAACCTAAGTTTATTAATTTTTTAATTTTTGGTACCTTGGATTGAACTCTGGTCCTTGTGCTTGCGAGGCAGGTGGTGGCACCACTGAGCTAAATCCCTGGCCCTTCTACAACCTAACTTTAAAAATGTTGAATGAGAAAAAGTGAATATAGAGAAGATGATTTTAAGGAGAGAACTTAAGAGCTTTTTTGAAATTGGGGAGAATAAAAATTGTAAAGCAAGTTTTTTATTTTTGGAACATAAAAGTAGCCTGTTATTATATGTAGGTAAATGATAATATAGCTTAAGGAAAAGATTTAGTTCCAAACTTGATGTAGGGCCGGCAGATTTCATGCTACCCTTACAACCTGTTCTAAAATGTAGACAATCTGTTTAATAGAAGGGATTTTATAAACCAATATAAGTAAATTTATTGGAACTTTAAAATTTTTAAATATAGGCTGACAAGACCTATATGTTACGAGAATATACTTCACGAGAAAGCACAGTTGCTGATTTAATGGTAAGTATTTAAGTTTCAGTATTTGGAATTTGAATTGTTTTATTTATTTATTTAAATAATTGAGTTTATTGGTACATTTTAGGGTTCAGTACAGTTACATTCAAATACAAGAACATCTTGGAGTTGTTAGATAATAGCCATCATTTGGTTGATTTCCGTGCTTTATTCTGGAAAAGCTGTAGTCCAGAGTGTGCCCCAGCCCAGTCAGTGTGGTGGACCAGAGCTGCGCCAACTGGATGTCCTTCCCAATGCGCTTCCCGCTCTCTTCTTTGCGTATGGGTCTCCTTTTTTCCTTTCCAAAATATGAGAGCTCTGTTACCATGACTTGTTTATTTGTTTTAGCAGAGCTTCCTTTGTACTTAAGATTTTCTGAGTTGTTTAAAAAGCAGTATATTTATACAGACTTGGTGTTCTTTTTCACCTTTAGTATTTATTTTTGCCTAAGCATAGAGTATGCATACTTGGGTTAGAAAAGTTGCTCAGTTTTCATCATAGACTACATATTGGGCTCTCTGTAAAAGCTCGAGTTGCCAAAGCAGCAGTAAACAGGGATTAAATTAAGGTGTATTTAAGTCGTACGACACTTATGGGAGCAGTACATAACTTCATTCTCTTAAAAAAAAATGCAGTAACAGGAAATGCACGTCATTTTTAGGAATGCTTAACGATGCTTCTCATTTATATTTTGCACCATGTTTTATAAAGGCTAAAGCCCAAATATTTTAAAAAACTGTCGATGAAATCACAATGTATGCTAATATGATTTATTCATTTTCTAGCATGTCCCACCTTCCTTCTTCACGGAACCTAATGAAATATCACAGTATTTACCAATAAAGAAGGCAGTCTGTGAGAAGCTAGTATTTCCAGAAAAAGTTGATCCTGACCCTACAGACTCCCAAGAAAGCAGACCTGTGGAGTAGAATGTGATACAACATACGCTCACTGAGGAATCTGACTGGACACCTTGGCTATTTGTAGGGGGAGATTTTTATTAAGATAATTAATTGCTTTGTGTGCAGATTTTCTGTAGCCTTAAAGGAAAAAAATAAAAGATTGCTGCAGGCAGGTTCCACTTAACTACTGTTTGTACTGTCTGTCTTCAAATTCATACTCCACATTTATATGTTTTAGAGATAAATTTTTACTTCTAAATGATCACAAAGTGGGTCTGCAACATTGATGTGTGTGTCTCATGAGTAGCAGACAGAATCTGTATCCATCATGAAGCACTGTGTCTCTTACCAGAAGAGGTAATTTAAACCTTTGAATCCCAGTGCCTGGAGACTTTCACAGGGTTCCCAATCATGCATGTTGATGCACTGGCTCTGTGCTTTGGGCTTCTGGAGAGTTTTGACTTGTCACCTAGGAAATCAGTCTCATAGGTTAATGATCTTCACCAATAATTTTTATTTTTTGTACAGGGGATTGAACTCAGGACCTTGTGCTTCCAAGGCAGGTGGCGTCACCACTAAGCTAAATCCCCAGCCTACCAATACATTTATTTTTGGTTTTTTTGAGGCAGGGTCTCACTATGTAGTTCAGACTGCCCTGGAACTCACTATGTAGCCCAGGCTGGTCTTGAACTCACAGCAATCCTCCTGCTTCAGCCTCTGGAGTGCTGGGATTACAGGCGTGTGCCATCACACCTGTCTCCACCAATAAATTTTAAAAATATACTTACCTTCTAATTTTAAATTAGCTTTGAAATTTACAGAAATTTTTAGATATAGAACCATATAAACCTATCATTTTGGAGAACGCAAGCCCTTGTGTGCACAGAAGCATATGAGCATGGTCTGTATGGAGGTCAGAGCTCTCCATCTGGAGGTGCTCTGCACACCCACCTGGGCAGTTTGGAAAGTAGACAAGAAAAGTTCAGATCCACTTAGTTATTTTGGGATGACCCTTTAAACATTTTATATTCTTTTCTGCCTTTCCGGATATTCTTTAGAAAGTGGAAAATAGTGTAAGTACCAAGTAGGAAATTACTTGAAGTAGATTTTTAAAAATAATTTTTTAAGGAGCAGAAAGGAAAAGAAACTTTTATTTGGCTTGAAATAATTGTACATATTTCCACCTGATGGAAAAACCATTAAGTAAGAACGTGTAATTGAAAGTATCAGTAAAGCATTTTAGGTATTAGCATGAAGATAAATTTCAGTGAAAAAAATACATGTGGATATTCACCCTTGCCCAAACTTTGCTAGGGTATATCTTACTAGCTAAATTTGGTCACAAATGGTTTTTGTATTTGTCTATTTTTTGCTTACCTCCAGGGTATAGGAAATCAGGATCTGTTGTTCAGTGTGTATTAAATATACTGTGTTTAATGTTTTAGGAATATGTGGGGGGATATATATATATATATACTACTCAGCTTTCTGTTTTATTTGCCTTGCAGATTGAAACAGAATAGACTTCATGCAAATTATAAGAAATGAAAAGTAAGCATATTCATTAGTTGGAATTTGTGGGCAACATGATATTTATGAGAGAATACATATTTTTTAAAAATGTGTTGATTTAGATGTCTTGATAACCTGAGTAGTCTTAGAGTACTTGAGAATTCATTGTTAAAAATTGTGGAGAATTAAAAGAATTGACCCTTTTTTTTTTCTTTTTTAAAGATGGTGGGTAGGATGAGTACGCTTTTAAAAGTTCCATTAGTTCGCTTCTTGGCCTTTTGGCTACGATCAAGTGTAAAAGTTCCATTAGTTTATTTCTGAGGGGACTACCAAGAAGATGTATATTTGGCCGTCGCTGAGTATGACATATGTACTATTTTATATTTATTTGTTCCGTTTGTCTTTTTGTAAGAGAAAAATAAAAAAATCACTGATCTGTATTTTGGTATTTATTTCAACTTTTCTTAGAGCTTAATTGAAGAGTGGTTTGGTGTGCATTTTAATCCTTTATTCTTTATATTTTTAACTCAGGCAATATTGTAGATAAATTCTCCGTGCAGACTATACATGAAAACTAAATAGTTCAGAATATAATCCTGTAATTACATTTGAGCTCTTGTCACTTTTCTTCTGTCCTCTAATATTTTTGTGGATGTTTTAACTAACCAGTATTTTCTATATTTGGGTTAATATTTTCTGTTTTTGAAAGTAGGAATACCTTTCATATGTGTCATCTCATTTACTTTTGAGTATTATGTGTCCATTGTGGTGCTAGGTACAGTGGTACATAGGTTCACGAACTTAATTCTTTGCATAATTCTGGTAAACCATATTGGATGAGAATGGAATCAAATCCAGTGGCTACATTCAGTGTTGACCTTATGGGGAAATTTGATTCGGTTCTCATCCAATTCGGTTTGCTACCAGAAATCTTGGAAAGAATTAAGTTCATGAACCCATGTACCATTAAATAGGAAATTGAAATAACGAATTGTTATAGTTGACCCTCTCATGCATTACACCTATGTGGATTCAACCAGCGATGGCTCAGACTATTAAAAAATTTTCATATGTATTGAATATTAAGACTTTTTCCTTGTTGCTATTCCCTGAACAATACAGTTTAACAAGTATTTCTATAGCATTTGCATTGCATTCAGTACTATAAACTAGAGATGATGTAAAGTATATAGGACGTCGTGTGTAGACTACATGCGGATACTATGACATTTTATGTCGGGACTTGAACAGCTGCTGATTTTAGTATTTGTGGGATGTCCTTGACCCAGTCCCCCAGGAATACCAAAGAACTATTGTACATGTTTTAATGAGATTAATATCTAGTAGAGGAGTCAAAAATTATTGCGAACTTTAGTAGCAGCAGTGATGGAAATAAGACTGATTTAAAAGTGGGGCGTGGTGGCGCACACCTGTATCCCGGCACTTGGGAGGCTGAGGCAGGAGGATCACTGTGAGTTCGAGATCAGCCTGGGCTACATAGTGAGTGCCAGGTCAGTCTCAACTACATAGTGACACCCTGTCTCAAAACCCCCCCAAAAAAATATATACTTATTTAAGACAATAACAGAAAATCAACTTTAATGATCAGAGTTGTTGAAAAAAATGTAGAAAGCCTCAGGAGACTATACCAATTTAACAAGGGGGAAAGTTGTGTAATCTACAAAATTTCAGCTTTTTTAGGCAAATCAAAAAGATCACAGGACAAGGAAACTCAACCTCAAAGAATGCCAAATCTTTCGGCAGAGAGATGACCTACAAACTGTTTCATCTTTAGGAGGGGCTTGAACTTAGGACTTTGGCGCTGAGCTACATCCCAAGCCTTTTGTTATTTTGGGTTTTGAATCAGGGTCTTGCCAAGTTACTAAGTTGTCCAGGCTTGGTTTAAACTTGCGATCCTGCCTCAGCCTCCCAGAGTGCTGGGATTATGGTGTGTGTCTTCATACCCAGCTTTAACAAATCCTTAAAGTTTATGGGTGGTATTGGTAGTGCCGTGCTGTAGATTACCATGGCCGGGCCTAACTTGCCTTTTTTTGTGGATGAGGCAGGGCCTCAAGTGGAACTAGGAACATGAATGAATCTTGTTTGCTTCCTTTCACGAACAAGGCAGGGCTCCTGGGGAGAACAGGTGACAAGATGGCGGAGCGAGGCCCAGCCAAAAAAAGACATGTCTTTTTTTTTTTTTAATAAAATGTGTGAAATGTTGTTTGTTTGTTCTATAACACAGCCCCCCCCCCCCGCCTCTTTCTTTCTTGTACTGGGGAAGATCAAACTCAGGACCTTGGGCTTCTGAGGCAGGCGAGGTACTGCTGAACTAAATCCCAACCCTCTTTATTTTTTAAAGATTTTAAAACTTATTATAAATAAACACGCTACAGTTGCCAGGCAGTCATTTTTTCCCATCAAAAAAGAAAAAAAAAGTTCCATCTGGCCTCAGCTTTTTATCTTTGTGTCTGTCTTCATCCCCCACTGTTCGCCCTCCAAAGGCCTTTGAGCTGTGCAAGATGCAGCAGTTGGTAATCAAAACAGGCAAAGTACGAGACAAGTTGCATTTTCAGGTGAGGGGCTGCTGCTAGGTGGGCACAGATAAGTTTAGGGACGAAACATTAAACATTCAGGTGTAAAACATGGGGCAATCAAGATCCCACAATGATCTTTATATACAGAAATGCTCACAGCACTTTTAAAGGCTAAAGGGTCTAATATAAAGGCCTCCCAATTAGCAAAGTTTTAAAATTTTGTTAAAAAATCTACGTGGTTCCCAGAGACCAAAGTGGTAAATCCAAGAGCCTGGGATTTAGCTGTGATTCCAGCACCTGCCTTGGAAGTGCAAGGTCCTGAGTTCGATCCCTGGTACCCCCACCCCCCAAAAAAAGTAAATCCAGAGACACACTGGGTGGGGCAACAACTGTGCACCCGGCATATGGCTGAGGGACCAACAAAACAAAACAAACCAAAACCCTGTATAGACCTCTTCCTTATAATCAATGAATGCTTCACTCATCAAGCCTCAGTAGAGCCCACCCTTAAAAATTTGACAAAAACACCATCCTAATATTACAGAAAACTGTTCAACACTGTGAGGCTTTAAAAAAAATTCTTGCTCGTACTTAGCCTTCTGCTAAAAAGCTTGCTGCTTGCATTCTGACAGAGATACTTGATGAGGAGAGTAACGATAAAAAGTTCAAAAAATACATTACCATGCTCTCATTATCTGCATGGCCGAAAGTAAAACCCACAAATTTTTCTGTGCCGTGGGCTTGCACTTCTGCAATCCCAGTGTGCCACGTGGCACAGCTTCCACATTCCTTGCAAAGGCTCCGTGCTCCCTCTTGCCACTACAATTTACATTGCAAAAGGCCAGCAAGGTGGTCTAGTGTATTTTGTTTGGAGTAGCTGGAGGTCTCAGTCTAGGGAACTTCATATACTCTCACAAGTTGTTTCCCAAGGGTTTACACTTGGTGGCCCATAACTTTGGGTACTATGGTTGCTTTTCACAGCATCCTGAAGTTTTTGCATCTTTCAAAAGAAGGACCTATCAGAAATTGAGCAGGGTCTCATACCTAACCCCAATTACCTCCTATCACTGCAACCGTGGTAGCACAGAGGATGAGTGATTACTTGAAGTTAAGTTCAGTCTATACTCCAAGATCGTGGGACTGTTTCATGGGGCTCACCAGCATAAGAAAGTTTCAGGAAAGCCGCCAAGGCCCTTGGAGCAGGGCAGAAGATGAGAAGGTTCTGGTCAATAGTTTAGGCAGGCAGGAGGTTGTGGGGAGACTCTGGCTAGAGGAGTGATTGAAATGTGTGCAAAGGTGAAGGGACCCCTGGGCAACAGCATAGGGCTCCTGGAATTCATGGTTTAAGATTACAGCAGATCTGTGGTGCAGAATTAGAAAGAAAGTTACTCTTAGAGGTGTTTGCTCCAGCCCTTGTGTTCCTCCTTCCTGGATTAGCTTGCTGAGCAGACCATTCTGTTCTTCTCACTTGACCCAAAACCCTATACAAATGTTTTTCTTCTACACATTTGTTCTCATGCCCTTTGGTTACAAATAAAAGGCCAAGGGTTTCACAGATTGGCCTGTTTTCCCAAGACTTTCTGGCCTGGGGTACATAGTGAGTTCAAGATCAGTCTGAACTACATAGATCCTGTCTCACACACACACAAAACAATTCAGTTTTTCATTTGTTTATTCACTATTTACCAACACTTTTCTGAGTTACTTGGAGAGTAAACAATTGAATGTTACTGTGAAGATCTCACAATGTGGAGGAGATGTGAATGTGAATAATGACATTGTGAGCTTAGTACTTACATGTGTGTTTAAAATGCCTTAGGAAGGGGCTGGAGATTTAGCTCAGCGGTTCGGTGGCCTGCCTTGCAAGCACAAGGACCCAAGTTCGATCCCCCAATCCCCAGTACCAAACCCAGTACCCCAAAAAAAGTTTGTTAGCCGGGGATTTAGCTCAGTGGTTCGGTGGCCTGCCTCGCAACTGCAAGGACCTGAGTTCGATCCCCAGCACCAAAAAAATAAAAAATAAATAAATAAAATGCCTCAGAAGCACAGAGGAAAGAAGAGCTGCCCATGTTGTGTACATGGCCTAGAGAAGGCTTCAGAGATGGCAGAATACTGAGCTCCGTTAAATGCTGACTGAATATCTGGTATATTCCAGTATCTATGTACTGTCACATTTACTTCACTGTAACTTTCAAAAGTAGTCATTTATGCCCATTTTACAGAGGGGAAAACTGAGGACCAGGAAGGTTAAGTAAATTGCTCTAACAGCTACTAATTGGTAGTGCTAGAGTTGCAGATTTCAGATCTTCCTGCCTCCATCGTGGATGACTTTGCACTATGTCTTGATATTTAGAAAATCTTCCTGAATGGAAGAAAGAGGACCTGTTATGGTTTATACTTAAAAAGTTCCCTCAGTCTCATGTGTTTGGAAGGTGACGTGATCATGGGGCACCAAACTCACGCTTGGACTCACCTATTAGCCCAGAAGCTGAATGTGCTGTTAGCAAGTGGGGCCTGCTGGGAGATAGGTCACCAGGAGTGTGACCTGGATGGGTGTATTCTTGTGTCTGGTTCTTCCCTTCCCTGCTTCTTGGCCACCATGATATGAGCAGGTTTTCTTCACCAGGCCCTTTCCCTATGCCATTTCTGTCTTGGAGCCTGTCTTCCGTGAACGGAAACCATTGAAACTGTGAGCCCAAATGAACCTCTCCTTCTTTAAGGTGTTTTGCCCTGGCAGCTAGAAAGTGATCAACGCAGGATCATTTAAGCAAGCACAGCAGCACTGATATTCAAGGATTGAGGTAAACTTAAATGGTAAAACTAAGCATGATGAAGTCACATCAACAGTTACAACCACATGGCTGAAGCAATAGAGTTTCGTGCAAATCCTTTACCTAGCTAATCAATAATCTTTAAGAAGTCCCCCTTCTTGGTAGTATATGAAATTTCCACATGGAGATACAACAGCCCTAAACGTTGCTAGGGAAGGTGCTGCAGTTGATCTACAGGTGCTCCTAATAACCTCTCTGTGGACTTTTCCGAGCTGATTTAATCTTGAAGTAGGCTTTCCAGATGTTCCCCAGCATGCAGTTTGTAATGTGAATCCTTGTCTGACTCTGAATCGGGAGGTCACATGGATTCTCTATCACAGAATTATCAGTGCTGGAGTCTGGCTTAAGGTGAGAAAAACAAACCATTCAATAAATACAAAGCATTCCAAGACTCCTTTCCCTTTGGCCAAGTTCAAATGATCTCTGATTTTTGCCCAAAACAAACTTTCGATGCATTTCCAGTGGGAATTATAGTGGTGTCGCTTTATTGAATTTCTTCCAGTTACCCTCAAGTGATTTTTTAAAAAGTCTTTTCCACTGTAGTACACTCACAAAGTGGATTAATCACAATGTTTGTGCACAACTCTGCTCAAAGCTTCACGTTTCTAGTTTCTCCAGAACCCCAGCGAGGTGGAGCCCAGCCCTCCTAGAAAGGACCCCCTACCGCCCTGGGAGGGAGGGCACTTCCGGTTTGCCGCTCGGCGCAGGAGCAGTAGGGGTGTTTGGGAACGCC